TTTTTACTGTATTTATGATAAAGAGTTTTTTAGGTGTAGTTTTAAACTTTTTAAGAATAATTTTAATTAGGATTGTGAATTTTTAAAAAGCAATTTTGAATTTTAATTAAAAAAAAGTATGAGTTTTTATTTGTTCGTACTGATATTTCAGGGCTTGGAAATGGAAAGGTTGGAAAACTAACTTATTTGAACAAGCATATTCCTACATTACCAACCTTGGGAGATAGACATGATGCATTCAGTGTTAACATAGAATGGGATGAGAGTTTTGGAATTCCAGGAGCATTTTACATCAAAAACTTTATGCAAGCTGAGTTTTTTCTTGTGAGTCTCACTCTTGAAGACATTCCAAATCATGGAACCATTCACTTTGTTTGCAACTCATGGGTTTACAATGCAAAAAATTACAAAAAGGACCGTATTTTCTTTGCCAACAAGGTAACTAACATGAAATTCATGTACAACTTTCCTAAACTTTCACATGATTTAGCCCATTTTAATGAAGAAGTTCATTATAAATATGTTTCAGACTTATGTTCCGAGTGAAACTCCAACTCCACTGGTTAAGTACAGAAAAGAAGAATTGGAAAATCTAAGAGGGGATGGAACCGGGCAGCGTAAGGAATCTGATAGGATATATGATTATGATGTGTATAATGATTTGGGCAACCCAGACTCGAGTGCAGATCTAGCTCGTCCTGTTCTTGGAGGTTCCAGTGCCTATCCATACCCTCGCAGAGGAAGAACTGGCAGAAAAGCAACAAAACGAGGTTAAGATTTATTTTTTCTGTCTTAAATAATTAATTACAATGCATGGTGATCAAGTAACTTGTATCAATGTCTGCATCAGCTGGTGTTGCTAAAGTTTTTCGTATTTAATCATGTGTCATGCATTATAACTTAGAACTTTATTTTCTTTTTGAAAGTGAAATTACTGAGGATACACCATTGATTTCGCTTTTATCTGATTATGAACAGACCCTAAGAGTGAGGCACCAACCAGCGACACTTACATTCCGAGAGATGAAAATTTTGGTCATTTGAAGTCATCAGACTTTCTGACATATGGAATAAAGTCCTTGGCTCAGAATGTCTTACCTCAATTTCAATCTGCATTTGGTTTAAATGCGGAGTTTGATAAGTTTGATGATGTTCGTGGACTCTTTGAAGGTGGACTTCATCTTCCTACAGATGTGATCAGCCAACTTAGCCCCTTACCAGTGATGAAGGAATTTTTCCGCACTGATGGTGAACAAGTCCTCAAGTTTCCACCACCCCATGTCATCAGAGGTATTGCTTGTTTATGTGTCACATATATATCTCACTCAACTGCTACTATTCCATATAATATTTATCGTATTTAACATTTTTGTGTTTTCTATATTATTTGGAGCAGTTAGTAAGTCTGCATGGATGACTGATGATGAATTTGGAAGAGAGATGCTTGCTGGTGTTAA